CCCCCCCCCCATGCTGCTTTAAGGACTTACCTTAAATGATGACGCTTGATCTGATCATCTTTTTTCCTGTAGTTTTCAGGAGTCCCTCCAGCGCTGGTGCTGGTCTCTGTTCCAGTGCTGACTGCTGTGTCTTCTGTGTCCCACGGAGTCTGTGCAGGTGCACGCTGCCAAGCTGCATGCATTGACTTACACTGAGTTTCTCCTCATCTCCTGGTCAAAGATCTCCACTGCGCATGCGCCAGCCCTATGATCCTTCACGGCCACTCAAGAATCTTCAGATCTTTGGATAGGAGCGAGCGGCAGAGACAGAGGTAAGTAATAACCTGTTTTTTTGTAATGTTTTTGCATATGTCTGCTTCTTGCTTGCAATAAAAAAAGGAAGGTTTGATTCTACTTTAATCACTTTTTCTATTGACAACAAAACATAAAACCAGTAAATAACATTGTTTCACAGAAATGTTCACCTTATTTCAATAACAAAATCACATTTCCTGTCTGGAGTTTGCTAGGTGTGTATGATGCCCATATTTTGGAAGATCTGTGTCAAGAAAATACACTACTGATAAATAGAAGTGTTTATGTTTTAATGAGAGAAATACATGACGTTAAAACCTAAATTTCTTCTTCAGAAAAGTTCTGGAGCTCCACGCCACTTCCAGAGTGTAAGAATAGCTTTTTTTTAGCACAGAAAAATATGCTCCAGCCAGGATCTTTCCTCTGACATGTGTTGCCCCTTATTGGGGCTTATTGATAGAACAAGAGGAAATGAGGCATATAATGGGGGTATATGAATATAAAGAAATGTTTTGGTAATGATTGTAATGGCATTAATAATATCAGTGAGTGGTTATTATACCTTTAAGCACTGAATGATAATTAACATAGAGAATGTATAAATACCTACCTCCAGAACTTTGCTGAATGGTTTGTGGAAGAAAAACCCCGCAGAGGAGTGAGCATTTGCAAGCTGGAGCTAAGGACTGCAGAAGTCATTTGTGAATCGTTGCATCTTTTGTGAGTAATGAATTTCTTCTTCTTTTATTATTATAATTTACATGTCCGTGATCATCGGATTCATCATCACCATCATCTCTTCTCCTACTCCTCGCCATCATCCATCATCTTTGACCATTCATAATTATCGTAGGTAGAGATAAGCATTGGGCTCAGGTTGATCATAAGCTCACTGAACCTCTGCCTTTGTCCTACCAACCAATTATGCTTTGCTACATTGTCATTGATTGCTGGGGCACTAGCAACTGGGCTGCACAGTGTAAATGGTTGCTAGCACACAGACAGCCCTGGGTTTGGTTTGCTTATACATTCACTGAACCAGGAGTACAGTTAATGTACCAGCATTGCAAGAATGTTCATTGAGTTGGGTGACTGCACATGCGAACCCAGGAAAGTTTGCTCATCGCTGTTCATAGCATCTGCAACCAGTCACTCATTATCATCACCATTTTTGTGAAAAGAGAAGAAAATAAATACTAGTTCTAGGGTTACAATAAATGTACGTACAAGCACTATCTTTCTATTTTTCCATCTATCATTAACTATACTCTATATACTATATATTATCTCTGTGTTATAAAACTGCTTACACATTTGCTAGCAGATATATTAGCTGGCCATTAAAAACTATAATGCCAACCAAAAGAAAAATGAACAGTGCACCATATGAACCTGAGTCACAGTGGTTAAAGCAAATAGGCTGTTCACTTGCAGAGGATAATTCACTTTGCAAATACATTTTCCTTTAGCTTAGTAAATGGGGTAAAATTTCACTTTGCACCAAATGCTTAATTATGTGCTAGGAAAAAACAGTATTTTTGCATGCACATGATTGGATGATGGTGTTGAATATGATATTTGATGTCATATTTTTATGTCATATTCATATTCTTGTTCTTAGGAGGAAAAGTTTAAAAGAGGAACATTTTAACTCCAAAAATATATCTAACTAAGTCTAAAGGGCATTTATCATAAAACCTATTATACTCAATTCCATTTTAATAAACCCCGCTAAAGTTCAAATATGACTTTTCTTAATTCAGGTTCATTCACTTATATCGCATTGTTCTAGAAATATATTTTACAATATCAAACTCATCCTAAATAGGAATTTTAATGTATTTCAGCAAAAAAGAATACTCTATCTCTCTTAATTGACAACAGATGTTTCTGTTACCTTCAATGGTAGCATTGTAATGAGCTTTAACCCTTTTTTACTCCAAGAGTACATAAAATGTGCTTTAAAAAAACTGAGTGTGTAAAAACTTTTTTCCAATAAACTGAACATGTACGAATAAATAACCAATATGTCAAAAAATAGAAAAACTATTTTGTCAATAGTAAAAAGTCAATAGTTTTCTCTATGGAAGGTCTTTTCTTTCGGAGATGGTCTTGTCATCTTCTTCAATGATCCTGTAAAGTTAGGAAACTTTTATTTAACATGAAAAAAACAGATATAGCTATGAAGAGCAAAACTTTATTTGCCACATCTTCTTTCAGAGAAGACTTTTCTCCCTCTCAACATCTGAATTCTTCTTTTCATCTGGAAGCATCCAGAAGAATCATGTTATCTTCTAGGACTGACTTAAATCATTTCCTGTAACAGAAATGCAGTATTATTATTTTGGCATAAATATTTTACAATGGCTAATTCATGTATTCTGTATATACTTTCATTAATTACAATATCTTTGCACATTTACTCCATACTTAGTGGAAATATTTGATCAAAATATCATATCTATGTCATTGTATGTTCATGTCAATGTTTCATTAGTTGTGAGTGAGACATATCTACCTATACTTTCCTTGACAATAAATTGTCTATTAAGACATTTTCAGATCTTTTCCTGTCTTCGATGGCCTGAACTCTCCTGCATGTACTATGTGTCTGGAATCTGTGTTTAGACATGACAGGACGCAAATTCTCTTTTTTGGTCTTGATTCAAATCCTTGTTTTCGCAAACAAATAAAGGTTTTGTATCAACCCTTGAAGTATCTTTTACTTCTGCAAAATTAGAGACATGCGTGCTGGTTTTCTGTACTAAAGGTGTTGCTTTAATGTCAAAGTGTTCCTTTGTAGCTGACTCATTGGCTAAGATACATGCCATTGAACATCCTATGCTCAATTCATGATTATCTTTCATGTGTGGAGGTACTTTCACAATTGCATAGTTTTTACTTTTAGAACCAAGTTCAAGAATTGACTTTAGAAGTTTTTTGTTCAATTCTTTGTTTGAAGGATCTACAGTTTCTTTCTGCCTTATGAGTGGTAAATCTGTGAGTGCTTGAACAACATCTGATTTATCACTATAAATAACAATTGGAACCTTATTTATCTCCTCATTTACTATTAACGCTGTTTTGATAGCTTCCAACTCTGCATTTTCTGCTGAGTAGAATTTTGGTAATTTCTGTTGGATAGCATATTCTCGTTTAGGGTACCAAATTGCATATCCTGAAAAGTGTCTCCCTGAATGAGCTTCAGTGGCATTAACAAATACTGGCTCATATCCTTCCTCATTTTCTGTTCTGAACACTTTAGCTGAAAATTCTTGGGAGGTATCTCTACAAACAAACGTCTGTTCATTATGCTGTTTAAGTTCTATCTCAATTTGTTGAGATAAAAACACTTTGAACCATTTTGAATATTTTTCATGAAATCCTCAGCCGTCTGTAAAATAATGGATCAGCCGTCTGTAAAATAATCTTACTGGATCTAACAATATTTTCTGTCACTTTTAATGCATAATACACTCCTAATAATTCTTTGACACATGACTCAAAGTTTTTCTCCATGGGCACAAGTAATCTGGAGAAATACCCTAACATTCTTTTATTACCATCTCTGAGCTGGTAGAATGTCACAAAAATTACATCACTAGAAACATGAGTTTGTAAAACAAAAGGAGTTGAAGAAGAAAAATCTATAGTTCCTAATGTTGGTGCATTCTGCAAATCCTTTTTTAGAGTTTCAAATGCATTTAGCTGTATTTCATCCCACTGACCACATATATCAGATTTATTTTTCAAAAGACAATACAAAGGTCTGACTTTTTCAGCAAATCCCTGTATGAAATCTTTACATATGTTCACTTGACTCAGAAAATCATGTAAGGCCTTGTGAGATGTTGGGATAGGAATAGCCAAAATTGCCTTAATGTGTTCCTGCAATAATTGCCTCTTCCCGTGACTAATGTGCATTGCAAGGAATTTCACTTCTTTCTTCATTAACTGAACTTTTTTAGTGTTTAAAATTAGTCCTGCATCTTGTAACAAAGTCAACAATTCAAACAATAGAGTCAAATGTTCCTGTTCAGTTTCTGCAGTCACCAAAAATGTATCCACATGCTGGAAAATACAGTCTGGCCTGGAACATTTAGATACAATTTTAGCTATAGACTCATGTACTATGTTGTCACTAATGTCTAGTCCTGGTGGCAGTCTGGTAAACACATATTGTTCATTCTGGAAGGTAAACGCAAATTTATATTGACAACTTCTCGCTAATGGTATAGACAAATGACTATTTGCAATTTCCAGTACTGAGAAAATTTTAGCCTTGGCATCTAAGTGTGACATAATATCAGGATACTCAGAAATAACTGGCTTGTTATTTGGGATGTATTTATTTAGTGTCCTGAAATCAACTGATAAAGAATATGAGTTATCAGAATTTCTGATTGGCCAAACACAGTTGTTTACAACTGAGTTTGCTTTCCTTAGCACACCCTGCTGGAGAAATTCCTGAATAATGGCTGTAACTGGACCAACCGAATCTTCTGGCACTTGGTATTGCTTCTGAGGACTGGGGTCTCTACATTCAATGTTCAATTGTGTATCTTTCATTGTTCCTACTTCATTTGAGAACTTTGACCACAAACCAGGAAATTCATGAACCACTTGTGTTAAGGCAATATCATGGTCAGTACCAGCACCAGCACTTTTGTTCCAAAGCAACTTCAGTAGATGTTGTACATACACTTACAACATTACTGTACACAAAAGGATCAATTAACACTGACCTGGACCTAGATGTATCTTTCCAAATAATTCAATTTCCTAAATCAATAACCCAATTCTGTTTACTAATCACGTCTATACCCAGAATATTCTCTGCACCATGACAATACCAGATATCAATGTCAGTTTTTAATAATCCAGGTATTTCAAAAGTCACATCAGAAATCAGTTTAGCAGTGGAATTACCTCTGCCATTAAAGCCTACAATTTTACATTCAGGTGCATAATCCACATGCTGGAAAATACAGTCTGGCCTGGAACATTTAGATACAATTTTAGCTATAGACTCATGTACTATGTTGTCACTAATGTCTAGTCCTGGTGGCAGTCTGGTAAACACATATTGTTCATTCTGGAAGGTAAACGCAAATTTATATTGACAACTTCTCGCTAATGGTATAGACAAATGACTATTTGCAATTTCCAGTACTGAGAAAATGTTAGCCTTGGCATCTAAGTGTGACATAATATCAGGATACTCAGAAATAACAGGCTTGTTATTTGGGATGTATTTATTTAGTGTCCTGAAATCAACTGATAAAGAATATGAGTTATCAGAATTTCTGATTGGCCAAACACAGTTGTTTACAACTGAGTTTGCTTTCCTTAGCACACCCTGCTGGAGAAATTCCTGAATAATGGCTGTAACTGGACCAACCGAATCTTCTGGCACTTGGTATTGCTTCTGAGGACTGGGGTCTCTACATTCAATGTTCAATTGTGTATCTTTCATTGTTCCTACTTCATTTGAGAACTTTGACCACAAACCAGGAAATTCATGAACCACTTGTGTTAAGGCAATATCATGGTCAGTACCAGCACCAGCACTTTTGTTCCAAAGCAACTTCAGTAGATGTTGTACATACACTTACAACATTACTGTACACAAAAGGATCAATTAACACTGACCTGGACCTAGATGGATCTTTCCAAATAATTCCATTTCCTAAATCAATAACCCAATTCTGTTTACTAATCACGTCTATACCCAGAATATTCTCTGCACCATGACAATACCAGATATCAATGTCAGTTTTTAATAATCCAGGTATTTCAAAAGTCACATCAGAAATCAGTTTAGCAGTGGAATTACCTCTGCCATTAAAGCCTACAATTTTACATTCAGGTGCATTGGGTTTTAAAGGTAACTTTAGACTTGTAACACTCAATTGAGCTCCAGAATCTATCAAACATTTTATTTTTCTACCGCCTAATAATCCTTGTATGTGCAGTCTTCCACTCTTATCCAAAAGGATACAACTAACATATTCTAAAGGAAGAGCGTTTAAATCTCGATCTAGACATGGTGAGGCTAATAAACCTTCTCTCTCAATGACATAATTGCAAGCCACAGTGTAAGAACCATTATCACTAACAGTGAGCTTACAAATCTGCTTGTCAACAGGAGCAAAATAATCCCCTGTACTATCATTTGTTGAATATTGTTGAACAAAATTGATGTTTCATTTTCTGTTTCCCAGATTTTAATCTGTGAATCTCTGTGATAATTCCAACATTGTCTCTTCAAATGACCAGGCTTTCCACAATAGAAGCAAATTACAGCTCCACCCTGTTCTGAAAATCTAGTGCTGACGTGTCTCTCACCACTTGTGGGTGTGAATGGAAGTCAGCGGAGGTTTACCTCATTCACTAAGAGAAGGGAAAATTCCCTTGCAAAGTAAACAACCTTGTTGCATTTAGTAAATCAACCCCATTGAGGTGGATTTACTAATTCAATGCAATATGGCAACCTGGAGGCAAACTGTACATCATTCATGTACAGAATGCCCCCAGAAATATAATTTCCTACTTGTGTGATTTTCTCACAGATTTTCAGCTTAATTTTTATACATTCACTGCAATCGAAATTTCATTTTTTTTGGGGGGGTGAAGTACTCCATAAGGGTAAACTACTTCTTCTTCAGGGTTGCAGAGACTTCAACTTTTCTCATTAGAACACTGAACATTTTCCCAGGGGTTAAAAATGAACCAGTCCCTCTCATTCAGGAATCAGCCTGGAAAAGAAATAGTGAAACCAACAGCTTTTTCTTCAGAATAGAAAAAGGTAGGAATCTGCTACAAAGTTTAAAATCCTTGCAATGTACATTTCCCAACATTACTGGAGTTACACTTTAAAGTCCAACATTTTCATTGCAGGGCTCACTAGTGAATTTCAGACTCACCTACTCAAGTTAGGGTATGATCAGTTTAGTACTGTGTTATCTGCATATGGCAGTTACTGAATACTAGTGATTTAACACACTGTTGCTCACTGAATAAGGCTTCTCTTTGCTTGCTACATTGTTTTATACAGGTCATTTGAAAGTGTATGAAGGATCTGTGAATGTTGAATGTAAAGAAAGCCCACCTCATTATTTGTTTGGAATTATGTTTTGCAAATTCCATCTTATTGTGTCCTTAACTAGGCTATTCACCACACAGAAGATCCAGGACCTGTGTCGGTCATTTCTTTAGGTACTAATTATCTCAGGATAGTTAACGTCTTTATTGAGTTTATGACAAGATAACAGAAAGTTGAGTATAAATCTTACTGCCATTTCAACTTTGTAAACTGTAGTATAATTTGAACATCAGTTTTTATAGTTATTTAAGAGCTGCATAGAATAATGATGAACTAACTTTATCATTTGTTCACCTTCTGTGTAAACAAATATGTATTCACTTTAAAGTAAATACTACGCTTTGTAGAATGGTATGCTATCAGCTGTTTTATGTCGGCAGCAGTGTCATAAATAGAATAAGTACACTCCATGCCATAACTAGTTTGTAAAGAGTATCAAAAACTGCTTGTTGTGCATTTTTTTCCCAGAACCTTTGTAAACATTACTTACAATGTGAAGTTGTTTTTTTAAACTTCTTTAAAAGTCTTACATTTTGAATATTTAAAAACAAAATGCTTTGTTCTAAAAAATAAAGTCAAGCAAGAAAAACTGTGCACAACAGCAATTATACTGGCAGAGGACGGGTCAATAATCTTCGTAAGTCATAAGTAAGTATTGCTTTGTATGCTTCTGTCAGTTAAGTGAGTCAAAGGTCTGTGTCATGTGCTCTTGAATGTTCTGTTCATCCTCCATTGACCAACCACAGGATTTGGGCAGGTTGTTGACCAAAAATATTCTTCAGCTGCAGTGGAAAAAAATGCCAACAACCTAACTAGATTTTCTGACAGGTGCACCTGGATCATAAAACTAGCTAAGCAGGATTAAAAAAATGTTGGCATATAAAACAGTTCATGCATATCTATTTTTAACCGTGTATTTAGCTGGTTGCCTGATGTTCAGCTTTAAGCTTTACATATGTGAGAGAGGCATTCAGGGAGGAAACAAATGACTTAATCAGCAGCACCAGTCCGGCTCTACATTCACAAGTAAACACATACATACATTCACACATGCTCACACATAAAAGAGACAAAGAGCTCAAAATAGATAGTATGAATGAGAACTGGCTGTATCTCTTTTACTTGGGTAACTACAAAATCTAATATATAAGTATATATAAGTGATTAGTAAAATAATTACATTATAGTAGCAGGCACCAGAAAGTCCCTTTTGGGTTGCTATAACTGCAGCCTTGTCTGACATCTTTGTCTATCAGACATGACTAAAGGTACATTTTGATAATAAATGGAGGTATTGGAGGGATATTGTGGCAACTACTCACTCGCAGTCAAGAAGATTAAGACCTGGGACCAGGATCAGTCAGCACACTAGGGAAAGGAGATGTCACTTCAAGGTCCTGTAGAACTGATTTCCAGCCATCTGAATGACATTGATATAAAAGACACATGCTGGACCATTATCTCTGAAAATATGCTTTCAGGTTCCGTTGCAGCTGTAAGCTTGTGATAAAGTGTATGTCTACCCAAACTATAAAAGAAAATGATAAAGTGGACATGATTTCCATAATGTAAATCGCTGAATTAACTGCCACTGTTGAACATACTATGTTTTGGCAGACAAAAACACATTTCCTCATGCTTTTTCTGCTTGGGTGCAGCAGAGGCAGTGTTGTAAGCTGACTACAGGGAGTTGGAGCACACTGGAATTTTAACAGGAAAAAAAGGTATCTTTCTGTACCTAACATAGCCCAATATCACTGTTCCTTCACAGCAGCACTCAAGAGAATGACAGGTGCACACAATTTGTGTGTATTTGTAGGTATTTGTCTGTACTTACAGCATTATAAAGAGAAAAACAGGACAATATGCATGTATTGCAGAGATGTACTGCATGTGTTTTTATTTTTTATTTTGCAGAGTAATCTAATTTCTTTTTTTTACAGAAAGAGAACAGTGGTAGCATCTCTCTTTGTGACAATCTCTCTCTAAGTAACAATCCAAACAGAATAGGAAGGGGGATAGATTAGTCACTCCTTTTGACACATTTAGCTGTGAGTGTAGTTTAACCCTGCACTATCCAATTTAAGTGCATAATATTTTGGAGAAAAATGTAAATATGGGCATTTGCCATAAAAATAATAATATGATGAATACTATCATTACATGTATTAACTGCATACAGTTATGAGAATACAATATTATACGTGATAATAGTTCTTTAAGGTGGCTATAAAGCAAGTTACTGGTGGTTAAGGGAAAGGTGAATTTTACCCAAATTCAGGTGGTCTATTATGTCATGGTCACAAAACAGAATCACCCTTTCTTATTTGAACCTAAAGAAGCTGCCCTATACTGGCATCATTATAAAATCAATGCATCTTGGGATTTTTTTGCAGTAATGAAGAAATTATTTACAGACAAGCTCACATGAGTACCACTTTAAACTGAAATATCTTTTTTAAGCAATTAACAGAACAACAGTTTAAATACTTAACCAGACATGTAATAAATCACAGTAACTTATGGTTTAGCTCTTGGGGAGCCCTATGTGACGTGCAATCATTAAGCCTATTTACCAATATATGAGGCTCTGTCACAGGAATTACCCTTCTTTAGATTCATAGATAGCAAAGAAAAACCCTGGAGAACATTAGAGGCAATTATATCTCAAAGGGGAAGAAAATCATTCTTGACTTCAAATATGGCAATTGATATTCACTATATGCACCCCATCCCATATAAACTAATCATCTACATATTGCTACTAATATGAAACATACAACATATCCCATTTTTTAAGTCCCACACTTTGCCAAGAAAGGGAAAATGATGTTTACCTAAATAGATTAATGCAGAAAAGCATACTCTAAATGACCTGCAGTTTTCCTTTCCCTTCCTATTCCTTCAGCGTTCAGACCTTTCAATATGCTAATGAGTTAATCCACTATTTAAAATGTGGAATTCTGTAAACAGATATACTGTATACAAATCTATATCTCCATGTATGCAAATATTCACAAATAGGTAAATATGTACTGTACAGTGCCCTTCCAGGTCACCTAGTGGCATTTGGAGGCATGTGTTCTTTTTGGCTAATGGGTCTTCTTCAGCCATTGTGGGTTCTTTTCTAGGGAGGGATAGAAATTAGGTGGGTAGTCCTTTTACTGTTTTCAAATGTAATTATCTAATGTATTGTGGGGCTGTTTTGTGGAGATTATCCTTTTCAGCCAGCAGGTCTTTAAGGTCATTACAGTGCTTTGCTTAAGCAAATAAATGGGTGGGAATAGGGATCCCCCTTAAATGCTGGTAGCAACAACATCCTGACAGAGGTCTGCCCTCCTGACTACAGTATACTGAAAAGGAATGTGATAAAGGCAGTAATAAACACCTGATAAAAGCTATAACTCTTCCTCACTCTCTCCAAAACGAAAAAATAAAATACTAGAGTTGGGTTTTAACCATTTCCAGTGGGTTCACGTAAATGTACATCTTCTGCTGGAAGTGGTTATACCAAGAACATGGCTGCTTCCATTTTAAACAGCCGGTGATTGCTGTTTAAATACAAGTGATCCAGCGTCTTGACAGGTGGCGGATTGCTTGTACGGTGCAGCGCCGTGTCCCCAGCCCCCCCCTCCGCTGCTGCAGCCGTTTTTATGCACACAATTTTAAGGTTTCACATGTTTGGTATCTATTTACCCGGCGTGACCCCATCTTTTATATTTTACCAAAAAATTGGGCATTATATTCTGTTTCTGTACACTAAGGGGTCTATTCACGAAGCTGCCGAAGGATCTGGCCGTAGCTTCGGCCGATCCTTTGGCTAGCTTCGGCCCCAGGACCCCTTCGGTTCAGTAGAACCGAGGTGGTGCTGTACGGGCTATTCACAATAGCCCGTACAGCTCCCGATCATTGCCGATAGGCTCGGTCGAGCCATTGGCTGGCCGACAGCCTGCTTCTGACAGCT